ATGGTATAATGTTCTATTCACCGAACTGTTCAGATACTGTTAGCGCTCCATGTCCCAGTCCTGATCACGAGTCGAACAGCCTTGTCATCGATTACCACAACGATCTGTCCTCCTTGGTCAATGATCCTCAGTGGTGGACAGCAAATTTTGGTTGGCTGTCCTTTACACCTAAAAGGCCTTTCTTTGGTGGTGGTCTACTGGGGCGACTGGCAGACATACGTATTGAGGAAATCGAGGGAAAGTATTCAATGCCTGAAGACTTGATAAATAGCTGGACAAAGCTTGAATACATAATTCGCAGTGTCATTGTGATATTGGGGGGCGTGTACAAAATCTTCTATCGGTCCTGCCTATCCTGCAGCCAGAGGATATCAGAGGCAACATGCTTATTGATCAGTAGCACATCGGGAAGCCCGAGCTTCTCGTGATATATTTGTGCTGTGGATTGGCCTATTATTGTTCTTAATAGCAGGAGCAGATAGCTTATCGCAAAAGGGCTATGAATGGCCTTCTCTTCTCGAGAATCATTTGCAATTCCATCCTGCCATTGCTGATTTAATTCGGGCATCTGACCTTGGCACGTTCTCACATGAAGTTCAGCGCGTTGGAGCGTTTATCTATCTTACCAAAGATGACATCGAAAAGACTCACCAACCTTCTGTTCGCTGACTAATCGCTCACAACATTCCGATCTGGTATCAATGGGACGTGGACGAAATAGAGTGGGCAAAGCATGACCCAATATTTGCTCAATTTGGTCCCCCGCAAAGTGGTGGAATACCAGAGTCATCTGCAAATCCTCTTGGCTCTCCTGCAACCACAGTCAAAACAATCACTTGGAGAGAATTCTTTGAAAGACGTGATGAAAATCGTCCCTGTCTTTTAAGTCTGGAGACAGCATTGGAGCGTGAAAGACGCTTGAATCGAGAACGAAATCCACCCATAAAATCTGCAAAGGTTTTTGTATGGGACCGTGACCCTGAACTCCCTGGTCGAGAAGAAGTCCTTGCTAGTGAACGTATCGAGACTTTGGAGGAATATGGCCCTGAACAGAAACGATATGATTCCTACTGGAACAAATGGGATTGTTGTTTTGAATTTGGAAGGTTCCGTACTCCATCTCCAGATGAAATGGAAGATGAGCACATGGATATGGCCCCCTCTGCAGATCAACAAGCTTCTGAATATGATATTGATTTCATCCCTCGTGAACAATGATGCCCAACCCCTCTACCTGATGATCTGTATGAGCAAACAGATGTACCCCCAGATATCTTTCAAGATGGCCCCCAGTCAACAATCGCCGGCTTAATTTCAGAAGTATAGGAGATCTTGACCCTTCACTATGGCATGGTTCTGCCAGATCTTAACCAAGCCAATCATAAGGAGGTTTCAGACAAAGAGAAGAAATTCTGGCTGCGGTGGATTGGAGTTTGTGAAGAGAAAAAGCTTGAATCTGTTGTTTCTCATTTCTGGCCAACTGCACAAGGCCGTTTTTTTGTTGAATTTACACGTCAAATTCTTGAAGGGCAGCAAATCATTTCCGATCTTGAACTTCCAAAATCTTCTTCTTTTCGTGAACGCCTGGATTCTATTGCCTTGTACAGAAATTCTGACGCCGATGTACCAGCGAAATGGCTCTACGTATTTTTATTCGATAAAGTCACAGTTTGCTGGAGGCTAGCTGTAACAACAGCCTCTGATGCGTTGCTGGTTTGCCGTCTTGATGCTCAATTTCTGGATGTAGATATTGCACGTTTCTTGGCATTACATGGGATTCCATTCTGCACTTTGCTGACTGAGCTGCTTATGCCGCACTCAATATTGTACCCCGATGTTGAGTTATTTCTTCCACAGCGTCCTGCCGGATACCACTTTACCAAATTGGATTATGAGGCATATCTGCAATGTCGATCATGAATTCTTCGACGTCCCCGTGTATGGGCAGCTATCCTTCGTGGTGGTTTTTTGTGGTGATTGACAATTGGAAGTGTGAGCATAGATGAGTTGTTGGAAGGACCTGTTGGAGGAGGAAGCCTTCTTGTTGTTGATGATAGGAAAGGATATCTGCCGCTTCTCAATGATAAGCTGACTCATAATGAAATGGACTGGATCTGTGGAACTTGTGTAAGAGGGCCATTGCAAGCATGGCAGATATGAGTCCTTTTTATATTCAGGAAGCCACAATGCAGCACCACAGCATTCACATTTTTGATTATTTAGGAAACTGGTCATGTGACCACCTCCTGAAAGCCCATCAGATCTATACCCATTATATATATATATTATTGCTATTTTTTCCATGTATATAAAATACTGGACCTTACAGAGAGTCCCTACATTGAAAGCGACAATAAGTACTATGCTCCATTTTTCACTAAATTTTTCCAGTCCTTTATAGCTATTATTATGTATGGAATTTTCTTCTGGACCCTGAACATGCTCCCCAGTATTGCACAAACAGTGAGCATCTTCCTTCAATTTCTTTCTGATTTTTCTACTATTATATTGCCATTTTTTGATTCAAAAAGTGCACATTACCTCAGTTGAAAATATGCCATGTACTCTGAAAATGGTCCCCAACATTGTCATCAACAATACATATTGTCCCCCATTTGTTCCTGATTTGTCTTCTGTTTTTATTGCTATTTTTCCTTTCAAAAAATGTTTGACAACATCATCAAACCATCAAATCTTATGGGAAGAAAGGCAAGATTCAGTGTTAGAAGTACTGAAAAAATCCTTGAGATCAGAGAGTAACAAACTAGTGTCTTTATAAACTCAGAGGACTCATAACATCATTGCTAACAATGAGCACCATATTCCAACTTTCTCTGATTTTCATGTTATTTTCTGGCAATTGTTGAATAAATTTCCATATAAGGAAATGCACCTGGGACCCTTGAAACAGTCCTAACATCAACATCAACAGTTAGCACCATTCTTCAATTGTTTTCCATTTTTTCTGCCATTTAATTGCTATTTTTCAGTTGGACAAATGCTGAGTACCATATATGGAAATTTACCAGAGACCCTGAGAGTGTTTTCAAATGTTGTCACCAACAGTGAGCACCATCAGCCATTTTCATCTAATTTTTGTGCCAATTTATTGCTACTTCTTCATTGAAAAA